GTGGGCTGCTAACTGCAAGATCAGCAGTTCAAGCTCACCAGTCACTCCCCCGTTGAAAGATGAGGTATCCGCTCCGTTGTTGTTAAGTGCCGTCGAATCGGTTCCGACCCCTATTGACCCTGAATAGGGTTTCCGAGGAGCATGTGGTGAGCCTGAATCACCGGCTTTGCAGAAAGCATTAACCCACAAACCACATCAGGACTCCAAGATACACAGCCTCTAAAATCCTACAGAGGTTGTCTGTGAACCTGAACTGACTTGAGGGCACAAAGCAGCAGCAAAAGAGAAAAAGTGGGGAAATAGTTAATACAATTAAACACCAGAGGTTGGTGTCTCTCAAGTCATTTAGAAAGTCATTAAGATAGTTAAGTTTGTTTTGACATTAAGTGTTTGGCTGCCATGCTCAAATTCCATTGATAGCAAAATAAAACACAAGTATTGTTTTGAGTCCTTAAATAGTCTGCAACTTAAGAAAAAGATGCTTGTGAAAAATCTTAAATACCTAAGAGAAGGGCAAAGTTATTATGGGAAGAAGAACAAAGCAAAAGGAATCATCCGCTCATTAGCAAATAAGCAAATCAAAACCTGTTGTTGCCAATAAACGGGAGATTAGGAACGGTAATACCTTATTTCCCATTAGGGGAAATACCTGGGTGATTAGTCAGTTGCTAGTACCAGGATTTTATGGCAAAATCTCCTTTAAAGAGGAGGATGAAGTACTTTATAAACGTGTAAACTCAAGTTTACTCACAAGGAGGTCTTCCTCACTAAAAGGCATTTCTACCAAACTAAGGATTTTATAAACATCAGGGTATTTTTGGTAATTAATGTCATTTTTTCTTATGTTTTATATGATACTTCGGGCTGGGTATTAAGATTACACTAGAGCCCTGTTTCAGAATATGGTGAAAAAACTTTTGTACCCTAATTAAAAAATTTTTAAATCAAAGTCCACTTTACCATCAGTCTAAAATAGACTATATACAAAACATTCTCAATCAAAAATCAATCAGTCATACCATGCTCCTGGATAGGAAGACTTAACATTGTGAAAATGACAATACTTCCCCAAACAATTTACACATACAATGCAATCCCAATCCAGATTCCAAAAACATTCTTCAAAGAGATGGAAAAAACAATTACAAACTTCATATGGAAAGGAAGAGACCCAGGATAAGCAAAGCACTGCCTAAGAAGAAGAATACGATTGGAGGCCTCTCGCTCCCTGACTTCAAAAATTTACTACACAGCTACAGTGGTCAAAACAGCCTGGTACTGGCACAATGAGATACATTGATCAATGGAACAGAATCGAGAATCCAGAAATTAACCCATCTACGTACAGCCAACTGATTTTTGAAAAAACACCTAAGTATATCACATGGGGAGGTGATAGTCTCTTCAACAGATGGTGCTGGCAAAACTGGAAAGTGATATGCAAAAGATTGAAACAAGACCTTCACCTCACACCTTATAGAAAATCCAACTCAACATGGATTAAAGACCTAAATGTGAATTCCAGAATTATGAAGGCCAACAATGAAAAAACAG